TGGTGTAAATGTGTGTATAAATAATAAAAATATACTCTCCCTGACTTAGATACTGATGAATTGGTAATATACAGAGAAAAAAGAGATTCACTGAAATGACAATCAAAACCTCCTAAACTGATAAAATTAACTTTATCAAGGATAACTGATATATTATATGAGGTATCATGCTTCATATCAAACTCAAAGTAGCCATTAGTCATAGTAACATTAGTCAGTGTTAATGAGTAATGGTGCAATTCATTGTAACACACTGGAGGTTGATGATAGGAAATATTTAGTGGTACATTATCAAAAACTGAAGATGTTATCTTACCATCAAAAACATTTTGGAGGCTGACATGTCTCAGGTTTTTCAAAATAGAACCAGCAATTGTGATGTTACTTGAATATCTATAGTCTATGGGGCAGTTGAATGACATGTTACTGAAACTGACATGACTACTGCTAGTGATACTGATCATAGACCCAGATGAGCAGTTAATAGCAGGAGACTGGTCCAGTCCATGTAGAGTTATATTCTGTACTGAGTCCATTGTGACAGTAAAGTTAATGACACTAGTTCCAATGAAGTAGAAGATGGTGTTATTGTATTGAGACATAATCCCAGCATACACTGATAAAGGATTACAAGGTGACTGAGTAACTGAACTGCAGTCATCAGACACATAATACTGACCAGAGGAGACACTGCAGGAGCTACTGAAGAATAAGAGAACAACCACTAACAGGAGAGACATAGCTACTGTCTGTACTGACTGACTAGTGTATACTTGCAGGCTGCATGTGAGTGATGACTTATATAGACTACTTGTTCTCTAAATATGGAAATCTGATGCATAGTTGTGATGATTAGATTCAATCTAATTAATAGTACAATACACTACAAGTCATTCTTTTTAATTGATAATGTCTAAATTGTTACTTTTTATAGATGGCATTTATAATTATTTATACTATTATACTTTAATGATTTAATTAAAGAAATATTAATTGACATAATATAGTCTCATACTTGTAGTTCAGCTATTGCTTTGTCAGTATCTGCTTCACTCAATCAGTTTCTTTTAGTCTATATCTCTCCTACTCCATTCTCTCATCTTTACTATGGACTGCATGGTAATCATACTTACATGATAAGTCATTATGTGTACAATCACAGACATACTCTATCATTATATGACTGTACATTGAATAAATGTTCTACTGGTATATGGTTAGTCATGAGTGTGCATATCCTCAATATTACTGTGTATGTGTGTATTAATGTATAATGTGGTTTATATATAAATAATAATCATTAAAAAGGGATTATGCCTCAATCACAATAATATCATAGGAGGAGAGAGAGAGAGGGAGAGAAGGAGAGTTAGTTAGTGAATGACATTGTGATTGTATCTGTTTTGCTTCATTACAGATGAATGTGGTGGTTTATGTGAACAGGTGGGGATTGACTTGTACTTGAACAAATTGGAATTTTATGAAAATATGTACACATGCATGTACTTTTATATTGGCTTGTAGTTTTTCTTAGAATTTTCAAATTTGTACTTGTAGTACAAATCTGTGTTCCTGACTTCATGTACATACTAGGAATTTGTTCATTTATGAATCAGTACAATGTACATGTACTTAAATTCACATTTCATTGTCATAATAAATGACACATTCAGGGTTCTGCCTAGAAAAAAGTTAGAGGTGGTTGAAGACAAATATTGTTCCTTTTAAATCTACATGTATGTACACCATACTAGTAGACTACAATATCATGCTTTATGTATGGTTATTAGTATTAATTGGATGGTTGGTCTAAGTGATGAACTGGTTGGTTCATTTGTTGAGGTGGTTGTCCCGACCACCCCCGACCACTATAGGCAGAACTATGCACATTGTTCAAAAGAGGTAGGTCACTTTGCAAAATTTTATATCCACAGTAGTAACCAGTAACTGTTTTTACGAGAAGTATTTCATTACTGAAATTTAAAATAAAGAT